AAGATAAAACAAAAAGGATAAGAATTAATGTTATAAAATTAAAAGTCTCAAACTTAATTGGATCAATTGAAAAGTTTTAAAACTTCAATTTACAATATATTAGAGCCCATTTTTTCAAACTAAACTACAAAAAAAAGTGCAGTTTTGGGTTGTAAAACTATAAAATTACCTTAAGACAAGATATATTTTGGTGCAAGGCAAATTCAAAAACATGTTTTCTAATACATGATGGAAAAACCTCTAACACTTATGTTCTCTAATCTAACTAAAATTAGAACTCACATTTATTTAAAATAACTTTATCTTAAAAATAATTACAAAAAAAAAATCATATAATATAGATTTAAAATAAAAAATCAAATGTCGTGCATTGCATGGGTTAAAATAACTAGATAAAAATTAATAAGAGTGCTATTTAGTTTTATTCGTTGTTAACTTATAATCCTAAAACAATTGAAATGTAAGATCGGAAGGAATTCATGTTCTTATTTAACTTTAGTTCTTTAATTGAGAGATAAGAAAATATTGTATGAGTTCTTAATTGAGATAATAGTAAAAAAAAAAGATTTGTTTGTATTATGAGATAAAAGACTAATATTGAATGGATCTTGAATTTTTTTAATATTCTTTCTTTCTAATGTGGCCTTATATAACTTTATGAAAAATAACTCTTGTCAATTACCAAAAGTAATCTTAAACTCAGCCTTAATCAATTAATTAGAATCTTTTGACTAAAAAATCCTTATAAAATTCAAGAGTGGATAAGAAATAATATAAAATGTAAGTTCTAATATAAAGAACTGAAGATTAGCCCATGTAGTGCACGTGCCAAAAAAACACTAGTTATGAAAAAGAATATTCTAAAATGTATTTATGGTTAATTGCTATTATAAAAATTTATAATTACTAAAAATCTTTGAAAACAATAAAGACGAACCAGCCCGCTTTAGATCTGGTTCATCTTAAAATAGCAATGTAACAAGCTAAACAACTTTTGCAGTGTCAATTAGCAGAACAGATAGGGATGTCAACGGGGCCCCGCGGGGATTTTTTACGGGGGGCAGATTTTGCCCCCCGTCCCCGTTCCCCGCGGGGAATGGCGATCCCCACGGGGATCCCCATTCTCCACGGGGAACGGTAGCAATAGCAATGGCAGCAGATGGCAGCAGATGGCTTTGTAGCAGCAGCAAATCGCTTTAGCAGTCGAGCGGCAGAAAAGCAGATGGATCCGATCCGGCAGTAGGCCAACGGCAGCAAAGCAGATGGATCCGGTCCGGCAGCAGGCCAGCGGCAGCAAAGCAGATGGATCCGGTACAACAGTAGGCCAGCGGCAGAGCAGATAACAAGCAATGAATCATTAAATATCATTCACTTTTAGCAAATTCATACAAGTTTAAGCACGAAACATCAAGAAATTGCAGAATATGAAACAAAAACACCCAAGGTGGAAATTTTGGAGAAAGGCAGATCCAGATCTGAAGGAGGGATCCCACGATCGGAGAAAATGGAGAAAG